CCAGTTGGATTTTCGAGTAGCTCGCTTAGCCGGGGAGAGTCCCGTAGCTTTCCAGTAGGTCATGATGGTCAAGGCCCGAATGTAGATAGATATAGGTCTAGGTTCAGGTCCTGCGAGTGAATGACAGTTCATAATGATTATCACATTTTCCCACCCGAAACGGGGAGCATACAGCAGGGCCTAGGGCACTGGTAGAGGCTGAGAGTACCTTGGTTTGCCAGGTTTGGTAGAGGCACTGAAGGCCGAGAGTCGAGAATACGTGATAGCCTGGTAAAGGCACTGGAGGCACTGGAAGTCTAGTGCACTGGCGGATTACGACTGCAATCATTATGGCATTTCTGCTCAAAGAGGAAACATATGCACCGGAAGAGGCTGAGACAACTGGGTAGAGGTACCGGACGTTGGATATCGGAAGTCGAGAGTCGAAAGTCGAGAGTCGAGCTTACATCGTTCAGTGCAATGGGTATTCCAAGCATTCACATTGCTGTCATGCTGCTGCTTTCCCCGAGGAAGAGTTAGGTGGCCGAGTGGAGGAAGGAGGAGCATAAGACCCCTATAGCCCCCTACATTGTTCATTGCCATGGGTATTCACATTGCGGTGATGCTGCTGCTTTCCCTGAGGGAGAGTGAGGCAGCCGAGAGGAGGAAGGAGGAGCAGAAGACTCCATAATGATAGCCCATGGCTATGGAAGATGAGTAGTAATAGGACTCCAGGAGAGATGGGACCTTGGCTATGGGACCTCAACCTAGGCTATGCAGGTAGAGGGAGGACCTCAATCTAGGCTCTGGAAGTAGGTGGAGGGGAAGAGTAGACTTAGAGGAGAAGGGCACCAAGAAGAGGGACTTAGAGACTTACTTAAGCTTTGGCTATGGTGGACCTCCATGTTCGTTCCCTTGGTTGGTGCTTTGCCTGTATGGGGGAGTCAAGTGGACCTCCATGTCCGCTTCCTTGGTCGGTGCTGCATCTGGAAGACCCCTGTTGGGGTACCGGTTGGGCATGGACTTTATCCGAGCATGGCTATGGCGATAGGAGCTGGGAGAGGGGTCATGGCAGTAGTACATCGTCGCTTGAACATCGCTGGCAGCCATGGAACCACCATGACTACCGTCTTCACCCGAATAGAACTTTCCCGGTCATTATTGCTGCATCTGGACCGAAAGTTGTGCCAAATACGGCTATAATGACCCAGCATTCTATTCGGGTGAAGACGGTAGTTGTGCAACCATGAGAGAGAGAGAGAGAGAGAGAGAGAGAGAGAGAGAGAGAGAGAGAGAGAGAGAGAGAGAGAGAGAGAGAGAGAGAGAGAGAGATTATGATAAGGAAGAGCTCTTTTGAGTGCTGGCAGTGAGGAGGGTCATTCACAGAGTCTTTTCAGACATTGATTGTTCATTCATTCGTTTACCACTAGTAATTATTACTGTATTTTATTTTATTTTTATTACGACGAAAACAGGGCTTCATAAAGGATCAGCAGACCGATGACGGATGCAGACTCCGACTATGGCGACCCGGTCATCGTCACCAGGTAAGCGCTCACGTGCCCGCTCATCCCTCGTCCTTCCCACGTGTTCCCTCACCCAAGGACCACCGCTTTGTCCTCCCTGGCTACGGCTGCCCTGCCTACCAGCTGCGCACTCGCAGCTTCTTCCTAGTGCCCCGCCAGCGCTATTCCGCTCACCCGACCAGCGCCCAGCAAGCCAGCGCTCCAGCAGCACTGCAGCCGTCCAGCCAGGCTGAGCCTGAATGATGCACAGTCGATTGGACCTCACTTCCTTTCGTGCTGGCTGGCTGGGCGAGGCAAGCTCCAGATGCTCAGCCTTTGTCCCAGTAGCGGCGCCCAGGGCTCTTCTACAGTGTGCCTGGGGCTCAACTGTAAGTGCCCTGGGCCTCAACATCTCTGCTGGGCCCCAGCAGCTTCAAGTGATCGGGGGCCTACTGGTCGGTTGGACATGCTGCGTGCAGCGACCAACCAACGAGGCCCTGCCCGCCCACATTGGCCTCATTTCAGGCCGCATTTCAGGCGTCCAATTTTCTGAGGCCTGCCTCCACTTAGGGCGGGCGCAAGCAGTTTCCAGTCAGCGCAGGCCCTTTCCATCCACGGCCGATGGTCTCATGCCTTGCACCAGGCTTCTGCATTACACACTTCGCTGTGTGCTCCTCTAGTGGACAGGCTTGGTTGATGCCTTGCACACTTCGCTGTTGTGATCCTCTAGTGGAGATGGCTGTCATATATATCGTCAAACACGTTAAGCAGGAATACAATGATGCGTAAGAAGACCACCTCCTCCCCCTCCCCCTCCTCCTCCTCCAGTAGTCGTACGCATTGTGCTGTATAACTGTTTGAACAAGCAAAGAAGGGGAGAAAAAAACAAAACTGCAGTGGTACTGCCTAACATCATCTGGCAAGCCTACGGTCGTCCGCCGAGCACGGTGCACCCTCATTATGAATGGATAGAGGCTAGCTTTACGGTTCGATACACTCAAAATGAGGGTGTGTTGTGTTCAGGGGAGAAAACGGCACACACCACAGGCCAATACCAACTGAAACTCGTCTTCTTTGCGCAGTGGAGATCACAGAAAGAAAGCCAGCAACTGCGTGTAACACCACCACCACCACAAGTTCACAACCTTCTCCTCCTCCGGTACTTGTCCCACTGTGCTGTGGGTCTCTGTTCCGCTTTGCTGTGGGCCCCTCTCAACAAGCACTGAAAAAAAAAAACGGAATAGAAATGTCTGCGGTGGAGCTGCAGATAACATCTACAAGTGTGCCTAGACAACACAAATTTAAGCCCATATACATGCATATCATACTTGCGGCGCATCGCGATGCGCTGTACTGCGCACGTGCGCCGCACCGCGCTTCCCGCACGACGCGCGCGAACTGTATGCGGCGCGCCTCCAAAAATGGGGGTCAAAAAAAAAATAAAAAAATTGTGAGGGGCGGTAGTAGACCCGGCCCCCTGCTCGCATAAAATGAGAAACGACCATTCGAATTTTTTTTGGAGGCCGCGCGCTGGCCTGAATGATTTTAGTAACCTGTATTCGGGGTAACACTCTGTGTGACACTGTATGGTAGGGTTATTGCCGTCTGTATGGTAGGGTTCTTGCAGGCCAGATTCAGTCGTGATGAGGGTYGCGATCTCTTCTTATTACTTCTGTAGTAGAAAACGACGGAACTGACAGCCGTTTTTCCTGGATTTTTTTTTTAGAATTTCTTTGCACGAGTGAAGCCCGGCGCGTCCAACCTGTCAGAACCTCAACGGTAATGTTCACCAACGGCGTCGCTGCACTACTCTCAACATGCACAAAAGACAAAAATATTGGCGGTGTATCTTTCCATATTCTAACGCAAGATTCACTCTCGTTTTGCAGATTTCCAGAGT